CGTGCCTTGCCTGCACTTGGTGCATGTTGCAAATGGAAAGCTCTGCAGCGCGAGGTGCTTGGCGGCAGAAGCTGGCACGAGGTCTGCACGCCTCTCATGCAGGCAATCTTTTCCGTTCCTCGCACCTGCGAGTCTGATTAGACAGCTCTGGTGCAGGTCGGATGGTTTCCAGTCTCGCTGGCAGCTGAGCGTGCGAGCTTTCTAAGACTATTCACATGGTCACTGTGCTAAGTGTTACGCATGCCAGTTTCCAGTGCAGATCTTCGTCTCAGGCTTTTGCTGGTGTACGTGGCATTTGTTGTCCTAGCCGTTCTGAACGCTCCTTGGATAGCATGGAAGGGAACTCTGCTTGACCTTTCCACAGCGGCGAAAGCGTCAGTCTATATAAAGCAAAAGATATGAAAAGATATGCCGGCATCGTCAGCTACCAAACAAGTGGCAAGGTTGTGACGGGCGTCTTCGTGGACAACGCTTTCCGATGTGCCGAGAAGCAGCGCAGCCTAGCCCCGAAGCTGCAGCCTTGCTATTTGCTAGGCCTGCAAGGGCCTAAGGGTCTTCGGTTGGAAGCGATGTTCCGTCACCTAACGGGCCTCCCGGCTCTCTCCGGCTCTGCAGCCGAGGCGATTCAGAAAGAGATGGAGCGGCCCTCCGCCTCAGGGTTGTCCTTGTGATGGTGTCGTCGTGCAGTCTCGGTCCACTTCGCAAGATGCGAACAGAGCAGTAGTTGGCGGGTGGAACATAGGTTTGGTGACACGAGCTGGCGAACATTGAATGCTGTGCCAAGCCTAGGCAAGAGCAGTTCGTGCAGCAGATACGCGACTTTTTTAGGGCAATGGACCAGGACATTGGCCAAGTTTTGCTTCAAGTGAGCCGACAATGTCAACAGGGGAGTGAGTTGGTATTCATGTACCAGGATGATTCTGGAGACGTCACGCCGGAGGAGTTGGCGGCATGGGCCCGAGTTGCACTGCATCACACGAGCAGATTTTTCTGGCTCTACCCCGTGATGCCTTGTGCACAACACGTGTGACCTGCCATTGAGGGAGCGGCAGACAAGACCCTTGTTTTATGCTGCTGTGCAGAAGCCAATCCGCCATACTTGCCGTGCAATGTCAACGACTTCGCATCATGTTAGAGCCAAGTGCACGGCTTCTGCGACTCCAGCCAGAGCCCACGAAAACTTATCAGTGCTGCGGAGGACCTAAATGAAGTCTGCAAGGTATCTTTATGGTTACGGTTTAGGATGGGTGTTCCTTCGGACTGGGCGTTCGACCGGCTCATTTGGGGGAACGCCTTCGGGCCAAGGCGTTGTAGATCCCCAGCAAGCAAGCAGGCCAAGTGCCCGGGGGCCGCCTAACTCGCCCCCTATGCCTGGTAGAAGAAGAGAGAGCCTACGCCTGGTACAAGAAGAGAGAGAGAGAGAGAGAGGTGCGCGCACGGGGTGATCGGCCTGGACGCTGCCGTGATCCCCAAGCCCGGAAGAGAGAGAGAGAGAGAGAGAGCGAGACTGAGAGATGAGCTTCTGCTAAGGAGATGTTGAAGGACCCGACGCTGTCGGCGTACTTTCGCGTACTTGGCTTTGAGATCGATGATGCCACCTGTCAGCACATCATGAGGCACAGGTGCAGCATAACATGTTTGGGCAGCGTTCAGTTTTACTACTCAGTCCAGAGCAGGTGCAACGTGCGGCCACTAGTGTCTGTAGTGTTCACAGCAGTGTCGACGTCAGCTGGAACCGTCTGGTCAGCAACGACAAACAAGCTAGGCAGCTCGATTTATCAACTTGCTGGACAAGGACAAGGACGGTGCTATCAGCCATCTCGTCCGCAAGGAGCGCCTTGGCGCGAAACACGGCAAGTACACGTTCTCAGGCATGGAAGAGTTCCTTCGCGGCTGTCTTCAATACCGCGGCGTCGCCACCGCAGTCGACATGCATCAGTGCCTGCGCCTTGCACCTTGGCAGCAAGTCAGGGTTCTGGAGTAGAGGTACGGCATGGAGACTCAGGTACGCCAGACTCAGCGCGCACTCCTGGACCTGAGATCTTCCTTCGATGGAAAGCCTTCATCGCCACGGTCTCCAGATGCGAGTCCCCGATACATGCTAGGCGCTTCCCCTGCTGCATTTGCCGAATATGCTGCGTACTTCCGACCACGCCAGACCGATCCATGGCTCAAACATACATGCCTGATGTTAAATTAGCACAGCTCACTGGCACGAAAGGTGAAGCCCGCTTTGGTCTCTCGGTGTCCCCAAAGTAAAGCAACACCTGCTTGTGAGAGTGTCCCTCCTTCCCTGATTGTTCCTTGAAGCCATGGACTTGGACAGCGAGGATGCTGACCCAGCGGAAGCAGACACCCTTGACGACCACACTTCAGCCCGGCGATCGAAGCGTGGCAAAGGCACGGAGGTCTCTTTGCCGTCTCAAAAGGGCCGTCTGCGCCTGCGACCTACGATCCCGGCGGTCGAAGGCTACGAGGGCAAAGCTGTCAGCAGGGATGCAGTCTTCGGCCGGCAGGAGAAGCCGCTCCAAGGGTATGATCGGTTGCAGGAGCGACTGGCCGAAGACTTGAACGAAGACAGCGAGACTCAGGTGGAGGGGTCCGCGTTCGGAATCTCAGGTGATATCGAGAAAGAGTATTCCAAGTTGATGCGGTCAGAGCAAGAGCTGGCGGTGATGCGACAACCCTCGAGCGCCGACATTGCCCAAAAAGCCGAGAATGCAAAGGATCTGAAGAGACAAATCGAAACATGGGGAGCATTGGTCGAGCTCCGGATCCACTTGGAAGCGGCCTTGTCGATGGCCCACAGGTTGCCAAGCGGAATTGTCGCCGGGCTTTTCGACAAAGCGGACACTCGCGTTCTTTCTCAGTCTGGAGCTGTGGCCACGGATGTTAGCAAGTTCCTTGGCTCCTTGATGTCGCTACAGGAGCAGCTGATCTCTCATGAATGCCCGAGCTTGGCAACTGATCTTCAAGGCGGTGCAGCTCCGACAGCTCCGAGCCTAGAAGACAAAGCATGGCAGATGACAGATGCCAGGTTGCAGGGAGTTCTGGATTGGGCACTCAATGTAGCGGATGAGTGGAAGGAGCATACGCGTTTGGACGCCCGGCGCTCCTTTAAGATGCTGGATCAGTCGCTGCGGCTGCAGATGCAGGCAGTCTCCGATGCGGAGCCGGAGAAGCTACGAAAGCGCTGCACCCCTCCTCCTGGCAAACATGCCGTTTTCGGGAAGTCCGTGAAGGTTATCTCGGAGTCTGCTTCTGCTGAGAGCACGGCACAAACGGCCGACAGTGCGGATGCTAGCCTAGAGAACATCTTCGACGACCGAGATTTCTACGTGCAGCTGCTTCGGGAAGTGCTATCCAGCAATGCAGGCGGCGCACTCGCTCAGAGCGCAGAAGAGAAGGAGCTTTACGCGGAAGTGCAGGGACGACGGGCTGCCAAAAGAAAAGCCCGAGCGGAGGTGGAGCGTCGCGCCTCGAAAGGGCGGAAGATTCGCTACAGGCCAATCGAGAAGCTACAGAACTTTATGACAGGCCGACCGCGCGGCATTTTCAACTCCCAAAAGACTTTGGGATTGGAAGATGTGGAGCCACTCAGTCAACACGCCTGTGACGCGATGCTGCGTTCTTTGTTCGCTCCAGCGAAGGCGCTGTAGACACGAGTCGTTTCACCACTGCTCATGCTAGCCTGGCATTTTGCCACGACCTCAACAAACAGAGCGGGCAGAAGCCAAAGTGTTTGCAGGGCTGCCAGTCATCTTCAGGAATGGAAGCGTCAAGGGAATAGAGTCAGGCTTGCAGGCTGCTCACCTCAGACACTGAAGGTTGAACATCGCTTCATGCCTGTGCGGCAACATGTCGCCCTACCCTGCTTCTTGTGATAGGGTCATACATACGCAACGACTAATGCCCTTACAACACGGCTGAACTGCCGAAACCTGCCAAGTTGCCTGTTCAGGAACACCGCGATCCGAAACGGCAATGTCGTTGCCACGGCCTTGGCCGTAGCCAGCACAATGTACCCACCAATGTTTCTTTCATTGTGCTTCTGGTCTGCTTCTGGTCTGCTTCTGGTCCGACCAGGAGAACAACGATCATGACCAATGCCTGATCGTGCTGCTTGTTCGAAGAGAAGCGGCTCGAACCGATTTTTTATAGTGCAGGCGCAGCCAGCTACGCAGCACCAAACTACCAATCGGATGTAGGCTCGTTAATCGTCGAGAAGCCGGTTGTGCTGCGCTCAGTACATGTCCCTACGTAGCTCTTCAGGTTGAGCCGAGATGTGTCTTTGAAACAGGTCTCCAAAGGAGATATGCGTGTTTCACCTTTCAGATTCCAAGAAGCCCCACCGAAGCGCCCAGGATTTTGGAGGATGTCTCTCTTTGTGTTTCCAGGAGATTCGGCCGGGTTTTGGAGCTGTTAGACTGGTGCCGTCGAAATCCGTTTATGGCCAGACTCGGCACTCGTCAGTTCCATCAAGAGCGCAGGAACCTGCTGCCAGGCCTTCAATGGTCTTTAGACCCCCCAAGCTGCAAGAGAGCGCCGGAATCTGCTGCCGACAGCTCGAAAGATCACCACTGAATTGGATTGTCGCCGTCTTGGGGGCGGGGGGTCCCCAATAACTTACCTTGGGTTAGTGGGGAATGGAGGACTGGGGTGCAATTATAACTACTACGACTACCATTCTTCCATTCCCTACTAACCAAAGGTAAGATAATTATGGATTTGGCTTCAGTTCCATGGGCCGAGCCCATGTCTTCGTGGGCCAGCGATCCATCAAAGGAACCCAGGAGCTGAAAAGAGCCTCTCCTTTGCTCTTTAAACTCCAGACCCCTAAACCCCTAAACCCCTAAGAGCCCCTTGAATCACTAAACCCCTAAACCCCTAAGCCCCCTAAATCACACAAAACCCCTGTATAAACCCCTAAACCCATGAGGGAAAAAATTAAAAACCCACGAAGAGCCTCGCAATCGCTCCCAGCGGTTCTGTCACGCCAGGAAGGGACCGAGAGGCAGCTTCCAGAGTTTAACGTCGGAATCTTTGCCCCGCCCTTACTACGATGATAGAAATCCTGCATGACCTTAAGCACCCTAAGCTATGGGAATTCTGTTATATTCCTTGCTATGGGTTATGCAGGATTGATATCAGTCGCAATAGGAGATGCAGAATCTATGCGAGTGAGGGAGCAGCGGACATTTCGAGAGAGATCGCGGTAAGGTCAAAAAGGAGTTCCAAACAGCTGCGGAGTGGCCCGGTGCTCGGATGATCGCATAAACTTCCATGCCTACTTCGTGTCTCTCCAGCGAGCTTTGTCTCGCCTGACAAGAAGCGAGTCCAGGTTTCACGAGAAGGACAAGAAACAGCTGTTTGTCTCTCAGACTGGTTTTGTTGCTGCCGTTGATTCAATGAAAGTCTATCTCTAACTCTATCTCAGAGGTTTTGAGTGAAGCTTGAGCAGGCCATTCATGAGGCTCAAGAGGGCTCGACGCCATGCGGTCGGAAAGTCGGCGACATGACCGTGGGCCCATCACGATGGCCCCAATGCCACGACGTGGAAGTTCAGGAATCTTGCGCTCGGCGCTATCAGAGACTGACCTTTGGCAATGGTCCACCCATGTTGCAAGGTTTAGGTGTGTGAGAGGGAAGGAGCGAGACAGTCTCGACACAACACGCAAGGATTGCGGGGAAATGTCCAGGTCACTGACCGTGCAACATGCAGGGTGGCATGGCCTCTGTAGGCCTAGAAGCAAGAAGAGAGACTCAAGCAACCTTCGCCTGCAGCAACTCAAAACCGAGGCCTACTCGAAAGGTAGACGCGCAAGACTGGGCTAGGAAGCACCAGCAACGGCATGAAGCCACACATGCGTTGTAAATGATCGAACAGACTGTACGTGCGCAGAAACAGATAACCCAACAAATCCAGACAGCAACATGTAAGGTAGGTAGGCAGCTAGGAAGGCAGGTGTAGGCCTGTATGATTCATGCTGCATGCATGCATGTATTTGTATGATGCGCATTTTTTGGCATATTTAAGTGAGGTTAAGCAAAGTGCTGTCTGTCTGTCCGAATGAATGTATGTATGTAGTATGTAAGTATGTATGTATGTATGTATGTATGTATGTATGTATGTATGTATGTATGTGTATGTGTGTATGTACATCACACACTCGCGCACACACACACAAAGGCGCGCGCTACATATATGTATGTATCTATCTACAAGTTTATCTACATATATATGTATATACATGCACATAATATGTATGCCTGTAAACTCTCTCACACACACACACGGGCATACAGACATAAATTCATACGTACATACATACATGCATACATACATACATAGCCTGGTATGCCTGGCATGCCAAGATACAGACATGAGTTCATGCTTACATACACATGTATACTCTATGCCTGCATACATGTACACATATGCATACATACGTACATGAATGCATTCACACTATTCAAGGAACCATGTATCCACGTGTGCAGGTGTCATTGTGTGTGTACGGGGAAACTATGCAGATTTGCATGCAGGTTTCTCCTCTGCTCTCTCTCTCTCTCTCTCTCTCTTCCTGCCTCCAATTCCTCTTCTCACTCAATCTCGATATCATTCTCACTCTGACTTGTGATCTCGCTGAACTCGAGCTTTAACTCTCGCTCTCACTCAAACTTGCATTTGCACTCACACTCGCACTCACTGTCTCATCGGTTCCTTTGCTTTCGCTCTCGCTCTCTCTCTCTCTCTCTCTGTCTCTTTCTTGCTTTTTGTACACTTCTTGCTTTTGGCAATTCTGTTTCTGTCTCTCTCTCTCTCTCTCGCTCGCTCTCTGTCTCTCTCTCTCTCTACATTCCTCTCCCTCTCCCTCTCTCTCTCTCTTTCGCTCTCTCTCTCTCTCTCTCTCTCTCTCTCTCTCTCTCTCTCTCTCTCTCTCTCTCTCTCTCTCTCTCTCTCTCGCCCTCGCTCTCGCTCTCGCTCTCGCTCTCGCTCTCGCTCTCGCTCTCGCTCTCGCTCTCGCTCTCGCTCTCGCTCGCTCTCTCTCTCTCTCTCTCTCTCTCTCTCTCCCTCTCTCTAACGCGTTTTGTAGACGGTGGGTAGATCTGTGGGCATAGCGCAATCTCAGGAATCCAAAGATGTTGACGAGCTCGCTTCGCGACCATGCTCAGAAGTTTGGAGCAGCCTCTGCGATTCAGGTTCTTGCTGCACATTGCATGATTAGGGGCAGCATGGATACGAGCTGGCCCGATTTCCAGGTCCTGCGATGGCTCGTGGAGAACGCGATGGAAGCAAACGTGTGACTTGAGTGGCAGGTAGAGGTAGCTGTCCTCGCTCGTTGTGTCTGTCTGTGTGCGTGTGTGCGTGCACATTGCATGCAAGCCGCTCTTACGAGGTATCACGCGAATGCAATCATTGGCAAATTCTCGGTTGAGCACTGGAGATCGGCATTGGATTGGCTGTTGGGCATGGCGCGAATGGCGGCGAGAAGAGACGCAGTGAGCCTTCTGACTACCAGTCGTCATACCGGAAGCGTAAGCCTGCCAGCACCTGCCATTGATTGCATCGGACCCTGGCATTCCGTTGCAAAGCAGAGGCTACAGCGCGGCTGTCAATGTCTTAGAGAAGGCAAGCCAGTGGCCAAAGGCTGCAGCTGTCTTGTGCCACTGAGCTGAAATAGCGACGGCCGTTCTGTAACTACACTGAACATCGTACGCAGATCTAGGTACAATTAAATGGTCGCTCTGTTGACATACTGAGGGGATATGATGTCAGCTGGGATCCGACCGAACGCGCAAGGTTGCAGTGCGTTGCTGAATGCCGGCCAGACACTTGGCACTAGATTCACTGGATAGCCGGCTTGTGTGCGCTCAGGTGTTGTTTCATGTAGAAGCAAGTTCTCCTTCAAAGACTGATGGCCTAAGGAAAGGTTGCCCATGGCAGCTCAGCTTGGAATTTCTGTACCTCGGACGCATCGTGGCCGTGGAAGGAGGAGCTCGCCTCCTCGGCTCCGGTACATTGCATCGCAGCGCCTCCCCTCAGCCGAGGGTCTTCGCTGCCCGAGCCCGCCTGCGACTTGCTACCCAGCAGCACGAGGGTAGCAGCACGGCAGTGGCACGGTGAGCACGAGCTTGGTCTGGGTTGTCTGCATTTCCGACGCCAGTCTTTCAGTGAAGCCTTTTCTGAGGGCACCATGGGCCAAAATGCCGCCATCCGCGCATGTGATCCGTGGGAACATGCGTGGAATTTGCTGCATGCTATGCGGATCTGCAGGCCTCGCGCGGAAGCCAACCGCTCTCAAAAGGCTGTGTTAGTTCTGAACCAGCGACCGCTCGGGTGCAGGAACTCTCCAGACCGTTGCAGTTTCAATGCGGGCCTTCATTCCCTTGGGATGCATTGGCGAATGTGCATCAATGGCCTCGTTTCGAATCTCTGCTGCATGGTCTGATGGACAGTCTTTTTGATGCTGCTGTTTCGCAACTTGTGGTGCGTGCCTCTAGACTCTAGACATCTCTAGACCATGGCCGGGCTTCTTGCAGGCGCACCGACCTTGACAACATAGCCTTCAACACCATGATCAGCTCCTGTGCAAGTCGCGGGAGATGGTTTTGGGCCACAAACCTTCTGGATTACATGGTCGTGCGCCCAAGTCGGCCAGCCAATGGCATTCGTCAGCGCAATGCATGTGTTGGACCCTCAGGCTGTCAAACTCCTGCAGCGGGACGTTGTGAGCTACAGCGCCGCGATGCAGGGGTGCCTCTCTGCAGCGCTTGGCAGGGAAACTCTGCTCTGTGTCCAGATGTGCAATGATCAATCACGAAATTCAACCTGAGCCCCCAAGGTAGTGGCAGCTGGACTTTAGCAGCTGTTTTGCTTGCCAGATCTCTGGAGGCAGCAGTGCATAGCTTACTTGTCCGCAACAGCCTGCCGAGGTAGGAATCCTTGCAAGATCTCAGAATGAAGCGGTGCAAATGCAAGGTTTGCCCCAATTGTGTTGCCATAAATACGTTGCTGAGCACTTGCTCGCTTGGAGACTGGCATGTGGCAACAAGCTTGGTGACCAGCATCCTGTTTTGCATATATTGAACTAAGCCCGACCGATGCCGTGTGTGGGTGAATATTCATGAATATTCCAAAACTGCTGTGCTGGTTTGTGTCGGTAGGCAGCCGTGACCCGAGGCTTGCTTGGATGGCGCCTAGCGCCCGACACGACTACCTGGAACACCGTCATTAACGCTTGCGACAGTTCGGAGACATGGCAGTGTGCGGTGGAAGTGTTGCAAAACGAGCGCTGCACTGCGGACGTCGTCGGCTGCACGGCCGCCATCAGTGCATGCGGAAAAGGTGGTCAATGGAAGCTGACTTTGGATCTGCTGCTTGAGATGTCGAAAGCTCGACTGAAACCCGACGATGCTTGCGCCTGTTTTGCCCGTTCCAGTACCCGTTTTGTGTGTGTGTGTGTGATGCAGACATTGCCAGAACCATACATGTAAGTCTGTAAGTCTGTATTAGTTATTGCTTCTGTCAGTCTCAGGCCTCAATGCGGCCATTGATGTGTGCGGGAGCGCAGGGCGACTGCAGCAAGCCTGGGACCTCGTGCTGCTGGCCGAGAGTGGCGAGCTATCCCGATCCATTTCCTCGCTCCCATGGGCACTTGCCAGGTTCCTGAAGTGCAGAAGCGAAGATTGGTTTTCACGGCTTCAGCTGCTGTATGCCTCTTTTGTCAGTCGCATGCATCGCTCTGCTTCCCTGTCCCGGCCAGGCTGCAAATCGCTGACCCTCTGCTTGTGCAAGCGTGTTTCGTAGAAACTGTTCGCAACTTGGTAGCAGAGCCAGCCGTGCGGCTACCAAAAGCTGTGCCCTGTAGTTCTTTTTCGGGGTGGTCCTACAAGTAGTGGCTGTCCGCCTGCCATTCCTCAGGTGGCCTCCCGGTCTCGGCTACCTCGACACAAGCTTTGTCTACCTTGGTCTGGGCCTTCTCACTTCTCGGGGTACCCGGAGCTTCGCTGGAAGTCTTTTACAAGCAGCTCATCACCCAGATGCACCGCTGCAGTCTGGATGATCTGCAGCTACTGTCTTGGGGCTTCGTAGAACTTCTCCCTGCAAGCGCCTGCCTACAGATACAACGGGAAGCTGCAGACCGCATAAATCAGCGAGAAGTCAGGGAACGTCATCGTTGGATCCGTTTCGCAGAGAGCGTCCTCGGCGTGCTTTGGGCTTGGAACTTTGCAAAATTGCTGGGAGCGCCGCTGCTGGATGTCTGCAGGCATGCGATCCGGGAGGGTTCTGCGCGCTTCGACCAGGAGATGGGGACTTCGACTCCAGGAACGCGACCGGGAGCCAGGGAGGTGTTTGTCAAAGCCAGGGCGGATCCTTCTGTCGTTCTTGACATAGGCGACACCTTGGTCATGTTTAAGCCGCCCGGATGGGAGGTCTATGATGGTATGGTCGAACTCCAGATGACCGACTTTCTCCGTAGTTTAGATCGTGGCAAGATTCCAATACTGGACGATACAGTGCATGGATGTGGGTTCCTTCACCGCTTAGATGTCCCTAGCTCTGGATTGGTCTTGGCCGCTACGACTTATCATGCATGGTATGAGTTGCAGATGCAGTTGGTGAGCGGTTCCCTCTTGCGTGAATATGTGGTTCTTTGCCTGGGCTGGGTTCCGAGCAGCTTACGATGCGTCTCTGCTCGTCTTCGTTCCGGCGAGACAGTTTCCTCTGGACATTTGGGCAAGCCGTGTGTGACACACTTGAAGGTAGTGGCACATGCTAGACGCATGCGAAGGGCGATGAGCCTGGCAGCCGTACAGATCTTGACAGGCCGGAAGCATCAAATTCGAAGTCACATGGCCTGGGTGGGGCATCCGACGGTTCATGACGGCAAGTATGCCGCAAGAGCAACCGTCCTCGAGGATGCACAGTTCTGCACGCGGAATTTTCTGCACCGATATCATTTGTCTTTCCTGGATGCGGCCGGGGCGGGGCGCAGCGCCTGGCACCTACTCCCTTCTGATCTCGTGGAGGTTCTTAGAGAACTGAGCCCGAAAGAGGGCCATTCTCAGCAAGCTCTCCATGCATGGGGGGAAGAACCGAGGCTTCAAGCTTTCGACGATCAAGTTGTGCTGGCAAAGAAAGGAAAGGGTGCAGGTTTCATGCCGATGCTGTTGCCATCGCCTTGCGTGCTCTTGCGCATGTGTGTGTGGGTGAAGTCAGGATTGCGACCTTTTTTTTCATGTTACATCCCGCCCAAAATTTGGCCCAAAGCCCGACAGCCAAAGAAGCTGCAGCGTTTGGGGCCTCTGTGGCCTCACATGCCGGACACCAACTCCTTGCACTCTGGTCTTGGCCAACTCAGCAGGTCTCATGCGACATCGAAACTGGAAGAAGCGGGTTTTTTCCTCGGTGCTTCTCGTGATTTCTGGATTGTACTGGCGAGCTGCCTTGCCGCATGCTTGGTGAGCTTCTTTGCATCCTTTGCGGCTGTCGAGCTGCAGACGAGGAGGCGAGGTCTTCGGATTGTCGACGATGGCAGCGGAAGTGACAGTGAGAGCGCATCTCATTCAGAACTTTTGGACCCCCTCCTGGAAAAGCCCGCCGCCAACCCCGGCTTTGTGCAGAGAGTGCTTTTCAAGGCCGACTTCTACGGAGGGACTTTCGCCTTCAATGCCGACCTGGCATTGCGATGCTCGGTGGTTACGCTCTTCTGCGCGGCGACCTACTTCTTCGAGTGGCTGTCTTGGTGGCAGGAGCAGGGTTGGGAGATGAGCTATGTCGTGGTGATCCTCGCATTCTCCTTTTACCTGGACTTAGGAACTACAAACTACCTGGCATGGACCGGTTTCTATGGGACGCTCCTGCCGGTGGTGAACTGCTGGTTTATGTATGGGATGTTTCCATCAGGGGTGAAGGTCGATAGCGACCAGTGGGATCCCTCGTGGGCATACATCTTCGGTTATCTGAACTTCTTCTTTGTCGTGCTCATCACTGTGAGCTTCAACTTCGCAACTAACGCCAAGATGTTCGCTTTGTCCTGGCAAGCCTACTTCACCATGTGCTTCATCAACCCGGATGACGCAACCTTATTCAGCAGGGGCCCTGCGGATGTGCTTCTGAAGGGTGCGGAGACCGGAGCCTTGATGGGCACCATCTGGGGATGTGTCTTTGCAGTCTTTTGTTCCATCCTGCCGACGTGCATTTCTTCCCTGAAAATGGCGCAAGACGTCGTGTTGGAGGTGGCCTGGTCCCAAGGCCGGCTGATCGAGCAGCTCGTGAACCTGAGAGGTGTGAACATGGATTCGCAGACCTCGGTCGTCTTCGCTGCGGAAGTCCGTGCCCTGCATCAACAGATTATGAAAGCCAAGGCCTCGCTGGAGAACAGCTGGTGGGAGTGCTTCGGTTGGGGCAGGGCAGGGCGATCAAGCTCGATGCTGGTACAGATCTGTGATGCTTTTGACATCCTCAATGACTGGCTGGAAGCCATCATCATGAGCGTGCAGCATTCTGAAGCTGTGTCAGTGAGCCAACACATATTTGACGCAATCGTGCCAGAGCTTGAAGAGCTCGCAAGGGCATCAAAGCTGTGCCTGCATTTGTCTGCAACGGTTGCGGTGAGTGGCCGCAATGATGAGGATGAGACCCTGCGCACTGCCTTGCAGACCCTCGATCAAGCACAGGCTCGTCTTGCCCAAAGGTTCAAGAGGCACATCTCTACGTCTCCTTTGTTGGAGACCTTTAAGACAGACCATCTTCCTGAGCTGGCGTTGGCTGGAAGCATGAGTGGCTACAGCCAAGCGATCGCCGATCACACCCGCTTCTTGCTGGACAACGAGCAGCCTCCAACCCCAAGTCTGTTCTGCACATGCATTTATGGAGTGAGGGCCTTGCCACCCACCTTGAAGGACTTGAAGTCTGATGCGTACCACCGAGAGACCTGGAAGGTCTTTATCACGTTCGTGCTGTGCTTTGTGCTCGGGAGATTTGGACTGGGCTCATCGCAAAAGTTCGTGCCAAACTACAACGCCACGCCAGCTGGAACCGTCGCCTATCTTATCTTCCAGGGTGGAAACGAGGCTGCGGCTCTAAAGAAGAACACGGACAGGTTTCTGGGGGTCGGTCTTGGAACGATGCTGGGCCAGCTCACTTTGGGTAGCTCCTGCGCTTTCGGCAACTTCTTCCAGACAACCTTCATTTCGCAACTCTTCTTGCCGGTATACGTGATAGTCGAATTCGCATCCTTCTACCTTTACTTCGGCTCTCCGAACTTCAGCTATGTTGGATTGCTTGTGGCCTGCTTCTTTGCCGAACACGCCTTGGCTAAGTGTGGCGATATCACGCACGACAGCCTGACGAACTACCGCAACCTTCTCAGCCAGCTGCTGGCCATCGGTATTGCATCGTTGATGGATGTAGCCACCGACGCGTCCCTGAGTGTCCGCGCAACAGCAGACCTTGAAGCCTTCATTGGGGTGTTCCATGACGCTATCTCTTGCTTCACGCCGGGGAATGTGGGGGATGTGCAGGGCTTCCGGGCACAGGGTCTGGCTCTCCTGAGCTCAGCTCGGAGCAACGGCCAGGAGGCTGGCCGTGAGCCTCGTTTGCGGCGCGTGCCGTGGCGGGTGGAACTTTGGGGAAATGTGATGCAATTCTGCGGGGAAGCATGGCAGTGTCTCACAATCCTGGGTTGCACTGCCACACAGTCAAGCCGACAACAGGTTGTGATTCGTAAAGCGGGGCACGTGCTTCTATCATCGCACCACTTCGTCCACGAGTTGGAGGCACTGAAGCAGAGAGCACACGAGGCCTTCGACCTCACCATGAATCTCATGAGGCAGGACTTTGCTGGTGACATCAGCCCCGTCACGATGGACTTGCAGCAGCAGCTCGTGGCCTCCAACAGGATTCGTGTCAAGGCGGCGGCCGAGATCCTCAGCGACGTTCGCAGGAGACTGGCGCGAGAGCAAGCTGCGCCATCCCTCCTGGATGACGAGTTGTGTTCAGTGGCCATGATGTTGATGATGCTCGAGGCGAGAGGTCGTCGAATTTTAGTTAAGACACTTAAGATTTCACTCCCTCACCCTGCTGCTGTTTGCATTGCACCCCAGGCATTGGCCGTCCGTGTGCAGCGGCTGGAGACAGATCTGCTGAAGCAGCCTGAGATGTGGCAGCTGCTGACACAAGAAGAGCACAAGTGAGAGCACCTTGCCAAGTATGATTACTATGATTACTGACTATGAACTTAGACAATGAATGACAAATGTCATGTTCTGGTCCGTGATATAAACATGATTTCTTCGAGCCTGCCTGAAGGCAAGCATCACGACGCCAGGTAACTCTTAGACGTGGCGGTTGCATGATTTGGTTAATGCTTGTGGATGACTGAGCTCAGAGAGAAAAAACGCTGCAGCTTGCTTAATCTCATTCTTGGGTGTCTGTTCAACAGACTCTGGAAGTTACCGTGTTGCTTCCTTGCCCAACCTGTGACCTACCCAGTACACCACCGAGGGATGAAGCTTTTCCGCCAGTTGGATGGGCGCTCAGTGTCGTCCTGCCAAACAGCTGCTGTGTTGGACTTCGACGTGCTTGAAGGTCCAAACTGGGTGAAGACGCAGATGGGAACACCCATCCCGCAGCTGCCTGGCGTCCGGTGCCAAGCTTCTAAGCTGGGAAAACTAGGAGCCCTTGAGCTTGACAGGTTTGGTACATGCACGAGCGCCAGAACCAGGAGGGCAGATTCCCCAGCTGCACGTTGACAGCTAGCGTAATCTGAGGGCTTAGAAACTGAAACCCTTCCTCTGAGGCAAGCACCAGCCTTGGCTCTTTTTCAATGCATCCCTCGGCCGGCACCGATGCTTAGCCCATGCTCGGTTCTGCGCGTGAAAGGAACGCAGAACAGCACCCAGTTTGCTCTGCAGCTCGAGCGAAATGAGAGCAGACCGAGGTACTTTCGGCAGCGAGGAGGCGAAGGTGGCAAGTGGCCTTGCTCAGAATCTGTCTCCAGAATAAGCAGCGAGTCGAGGACATGCTGTTGCAGTATTCTTGGTGCATGTGACGGAAAACGCAGATGTTGGCTCAACCAGGGCTTTAGCTGCATTCGCGGTGCATGGCGGAAGCTTCCGCAGTGAATACATACTGTCAGAAGCGCCTTGGCTTGTACGAGAAAGGCTCCGATGTGTCTGCCACCAGCATGCCGAGAGCCTCGTTCCCCGGCTTCAGGAATGGAACACCATTCCAGGCGAGGCTATCCTTCCTTTTCTTGCAGTTGTGCTTGGCTTGTCCTAAGACCTAAGAGGTGTCAATTCAACCATCACGGGACGGGTTCCAATGCTGCTCGTTTGCACAGAGCCTTGAAGAAGCTTGTGTTCCGAAGCAGCTGATGTTCAGTAAGGTACCCTCACCATCCCAGGACTGCCGTGACCTCTCTGTCCGGGCTTGCTGGTTCTCACTCTAAACCCTTAGCCAAATCGCTACGGCTCAAGATTTGGATCTCCGCTTGCTCCTGGCCTTGTTGCCTCAGCAATGTCTGCTATGGCGGAAGCGGCGAGCACGCCCAGAGCCAAGAGCGTTGGGTTCCACGTGGCTCCGTCCGCAACTGAGTCGACGAAGGCCTCGGCCACAGAGCCCAAGCGGGCCAGCCAGGGACGAACATCCAAAGCGGAGCAGCGCCAGAGCACAAGTAGCCGGGCGAGCGGCATCTCCATGCTTAGCGTCTCCAAGCAGAGAACAAGCCAGAGAACCAGCCAGAGAAGTTCCTTTATGCTTCCTCTCCCAACCATGCGCTCCATGTGGTCGAGAGGGAACTCTGGCTTGGAGAGCTACGAGGACATGGGGCCCGCGATGCTTGCAGTTCGCACAGCTGCCAGCGGCTTCCGGGCAGAGGAGGTGGAACTGGGGCGGATGCCTGCGGCATGCGTTGACATCTGCAAGTCCGGGCCGGCTGCCATCTTGCTTCTCGTCTTCGCACTCTTTCAAGGCCTACTGACCAATGGTTTGGTGTATGGTTTCCCATCCATGGTGCCTATGCTGCAAGATGAAGGTGTGTATGCTCACCTGTGCCCAGAATCCTCAGCTGGCGTCTGCACAGAAAGATCAATGGCCTTCACTTGGGTCTTCTCCGTCGGTTCTGCGATGAATGCAGGAGGAGCACTCCTGGCTGGCATCCTCATCGATGTGCTGGGGACCAAGGCCGGTGTCCTGCTCGCGCTGCTCTCCGACGCAGCTGGCAGCTTGCTCTTGGGCCTGTCTCCTGCGACGATGGACGTGGCGTGGCCAATTGCCTTCGTCCTCTACGGCTTCGCGGCGTGCTGCATCACGCTCTCGAACCTGAGCCTGGCGAACGCCTTCGGCTCGGGCCGCGGGCTGGTCATTAGCCTGCTGGTGAGCACCAGCAGCATGGGTGCCATTTCCATGCAAGTTGTAGTGATGGGTTACGACGCAGGCTTGGCACGAAACGAGGCTTTCCTGGTGCACGTGGCTTTGCTGCTGCTGTGTCTTTGCATCTCCGGGTGGTTCTGGCCCGGGGAGCCGCTGTTTCCAGACTCGCGACTGCGCCTCCGTCGGGGGAGAGTCAGCGCGAAGCTGGAGGACGACAACGATGACGACGAGGCCGAGGCTGAAGCCTCGGAAGACGCGGAGGTGGAGTTTGAGGAGGCCCTGGCGCTGGAGGCCATGGAGCTTCAGGTGCCCAAAGAGAGGGACGCCGCCTTTGCGGAGACCGTGGACGTGGACGCCGGCTTGGCGCCGGAGGAAACGGAGGTGGCCCGAGGAGGGGAGGACACTGTGGAGACAGAGGAGGACCCTGAGGCCCCGCGGGGCTTCTGCAGCACGGCCCTCCAGGCCTTGCGAAGCCGGCAGTATGTCGCCGTCCTGCTTTTCTACCTGCTGAACCTCTTCTTCTACCGCTGCATGCAAAGCTGGCGAAACGCAGAATTACAGTGGAAGGACCAGCAGATCACAGAAGCAGGAGGTCAAGGGCTCGATGTTGTCCTGCAGCTGAATACATTTACATCCATGGGAGCCTCGATCCACTTGGTGGTGATTCCTATTTTCGGCTGGCTGGTGGCACGATTCGGGTCTGATCATGCGCCCGCCGTGGTCAGCACACTGTTGCTGGTCGTTTGGCAGGGCTTGCGGCTTATCCACACAGATTGGATCCTGCCCATCTTCAATGTCCTCGCCCCAATACAGCGCCAGTTTTTCCTCAGCACCTTCTACACCTATGTGTCCACAACGTTCCCGCCGGAGGTCTTCGCGACGCTTGCAGGGCTGCCACCACTCTTCGCAGGCGCATCATCCTTTCTGGTGACTCCTTTGCTTGGACTCGTGCTCCGGGAGTTTGCGGGGGATTTCACCGTCATGATCATGATTCAGCTCTGCATTGCGGCTGCTATGCTTGGACTGTCCTGCTTCGGTTGGCTACGGCATCGCCTTTTCCCCACAGCTGCCGTAAACACCTAAGTTGGACATGAAGATGCTAAACTGTGGTGAACGCCTGACAGTCTGGGACAGCTTCAGGTGGGTACAAGTAGTCATATAAAGCACGCATGAGGGAAACCACCTACCTGCAACTGTCCTCTATGCTTTGACACCTGAAATGTGGATCATTATGTCCCTTAAGTTGCTGTCTCAGGCCCTGGCATGTGGTGTGTTTATGTAGCCTTGGAAATCTCGAGAAGCTTCGGCACTTTGCACAGATCTTCGGATAGCTCCCCATGCCTGCTCTTTCGACTCCAGAGGTCAGGCAAACGAATTACTTTCGCTCTCAAGCTGTCCTCGTCACCCTAACCTAAACCCTAAACTGTCTCTTTCTAGAACCTCGTCTGGCAGTGTCCGAGTTGCGAGAGCGTAAACTGTCTCTTTCTTGCTTAGACCTGGAAGAGTCAGAGAACCAATCAGTCGCCGGGCGGCATTTCACAAGTCAAAGACTACGGCCTTTCCTGACTTATCTCTTTGAGATGGCTGTCAGACTTTTCGCAGCGGGCAGTGATCCAGAACTATCTTCCCTGGTGCTCACTGGGGAAGGGAGGAGTGCACTGAAGGTCACGTCGTATTAAGATCCTAGAAGACCCGGCATATGGATTATCCCAGTCTCAGCACCAGGGAGTAAGGTTCACTTCAGCCCACCGTCTTGTTGAGGGCTTGCGAGCTGGCCATCAGACCCTGAGACCCAAACTCCAGAGCTGGGTTTACTGTAGGGTTCATGGCACCCTCGTATGCAAGAGATCGAAGCCTTTTTCTGGTGTGTTAGGGTTTTAGGGCTTAGGGCATTGACGGTCATCCGAAAGCCGCATGAGTCCCACGCTTGCAGTGCTTTTCCTTCATCTGGCTTGCGATGAAGCGCTGCAGCTTTCAGAACGCCACGCGAAGCTTCCAAGGATCAGGTCCGCTCCTGAGTTAAAAGAAGAGGCGGAGACCGTGCGAGGATTGTGGCGTGTTGGGGCTTCGGGTTTGTGAAGCTTTGGGTCTGACAGTTCAGGGGTTCCCTAAGCGCAAGACCACCGCGCGGCACTGTCTGTTGTGGACTTTCACGGGTAGTGGCCAAGCTCAAGTCCCCGAAGCGACCTACACTCTGCAAGTCAACTGATTACACTCTGCATCACCTTTCAGTGCACCGGCGAAGTGTCGCTCTGGCGGCATAATCATTCTGGAGACCGACAGAAGTTTGCAATCCGCATGCTGTCTGCACTCCATCATCATCTCAGCTCTCTCTGCATGTCAGTGTGACTTCAGCCTATGCTAACGGGCCAGGGAGGTTAATAATTGAAGTGAAGGAATGAGCCCTGTGTTGTTTGGTTTCACAGTGTTTCACGAAGGGCATGCCTTGCATCCAACTAGGTCTTGGGGTTGTACTGTGCGTGGGTCTTAGCGATGGTTGTTGCAGGATGAGTCTGCTGTCACGTCGAGTCGTGAGGTACTGTTGTTACTTGTTGGTGGCTTACGAGTGACTCTGAAGTGACAACCTGAGGGTTGGCAATGCCCGGCTCTCATGTAAGCCACCAGCCCCAAGCTTGTCTACAGACCTCGCCTGGTGATGCCGAGTGTGAGCGTCAAGAACCCCTGAACCCCAAACCCTGTAGGGGTAAAAGCCGTGAAAGGAGTGCAGAAGGTGTCCATTGCCGCCGCCTCCAGCAACTCCTTTGAATCTTTGCAGCTTGGGCCGCACGGTGCAGCTTGCCGAATAATTCGTCCGAGGCAAGAAAGGCGCCCAGGCGCCGTCGCCTCAGAATCATGCTGACATGAGAGTCACTCGTTTCTCTGCTTGAGGCTCTGCTCACCAACATCATGCGTGTCGTGCCACCGTTTCTTCTAGTGCCGTTGTGCGCCCAAGGTTGGCCATGCAGGACATGTTCCAGTTTCTTGATAGATCCGGTCGGCTCCAAGCAATGACTCTTGGCCTCTGCTGAGCTGCAACTTTCGTTTTAAGAAGGGTCTGGTTCTGAGCGATTACGAAGACGAGACTCAGGGCCGAGCCTTCGGGCAAGAAGCGCAAGGTTTCGGCGGGAGCTTTGCCGGTGCAAACAGCTCCGGTTGGCTCAGGGCCGCAGCCAAGCTTGGCGCACAAGGCGCGCTGGGACGGCAGACACGCAGACAGGTCTGAGCCGCCGGCCTTTGTCAGAGAGGTGCCATCCTTGCGCCAAGCTGCTCCCGGGCCCGGGATGCCCGGGCCAGTGCCCAAAGCGTTCCGCCAAGCAGTTGCGACCTCGTTGGGAGGGCTTCTGAGCCTTTTTGGGATTGCGAAGCATTCCGTAGAGTCGAGTGAACCAGGCTCCCAAGCCCAAGCTGAGCGCCTCGAAGCCGGCGAAGCCTTCACCGGTGCCTCCAGTCTTGGCAAGGCGGCTGGGATCAGCTGGGCGTTCTCTCGCTTCCGTGAAATGCGTAGAATCTGTCGGGCAGGTCGAGTATGCAAACGGCAGACGACGGGGCTGGCAACTTTACCATTGAGATTGCCCGCTCGCACTTGAACGAAAATCTACG